TCAAAATCTACTAAAATTTGATTTAGTAGGGTCCAATATTATGTCAACATAAGCAAATAATATTACGTTATGATAAGACAATATCTGAATGGCACGCAGCATGGCAAGACGATAAAGTCAAATCTTATTTTTTTTATGATTTAAGACATCTATTTATTACGTTTTCCCTTTTCAATATTATTTAAATACCATATATCATCGGTTTGGTTTAGATAAAAGGTTGATATAAAATTAAATTAAAGTTAATAATTGATTTTGACAACAAATTTTATGTAATTTATAACTTTCATTAACTTTTTAACCATATATTTTATCAAATTTTATAAAAATCTCCTAAAAATACATTTTAAAAAAAACTAAATCAGTTAGGGGCATAATAAATAAAATAATGCATATTGTTGTGAAAAGAGAGAAAAAGAGAAAAAAAATAAAAATCAATAAACTTGTGTGTATTATAATTGGAACCAAAACCCTATATTTATAAGGCATGATTAGGGATACAATAGTAATAATTTCTAGAACTTTAGGGATACAATTGTAATTCACTAATAAACTTACCAATTACAGCACTCCCCCTTGAATGACACATTACAAAATATCTACCACATTGAAACCTTGTTTGATAAAAAACTAATGAGACAAAAAATCAAACGAAGAAAAAAGAGTACGATTATTTTAGAGTATTAAAAATAAATGTTGCCTCATTAAAACCTCTAGGAAAACCCAGTGAGATAAAACCTAAACGAAGGAAAAGAGTACAACTACTCTCCCTAATGCTGATTACTGAAAATCTTTAAGTTGACGCATTCCAATCTTGTGAACCAATTTTTTGAATAGAGATGTTGGCAGTGTTTTTGTACATAAATCAGCCGCATTGTCATTCGAACGAATTTGTTAAACATTGATGTCGACATTCTTCTGAAACTCATGTGTATGAAAGCATTTTGAAAAAATATGCTTCATTATATCACCTTTGATATAATCTCATTTAAGTTGTACAATACAAGCAACATTGTTTTCATACTAAATTGTTGGACTATGTTTTGTTGAAATTAATCTGCATGATGCTTGGATATGATGGGACATGTTTCTTAACCATACACATTATCGGCTTACTTCATGGATTGCAATAATTTCAGAATGAT